AATCTTTTTTCGTGGTGGGGTGGCACGTATTCTCGAAGCTAATATTAGTCATCAGTTGCATACACGGAAGAACGATATTGTACACAATGTTATCGAATTCAGTCATCTTTAATGCATTTTCATCGATGTTCTTTTCCAGTTCACATATTTGAGTCGTCATACGGAATTCGAAATCGTACAGTGTTTGTTCTATTTTAGTAGTAAACGATGATAAAATGAGTTCAACTTGATGACTATCTGTCGTTGTCGATTGTTGCGGTTGCTTTAAAGCTGCAGCGTAACTGCCTCTGGCTAGAACTGGAGGCACTGATGATAACGATGGTGAGAAGGCAGGAACATCATCATTATAATCAGAAACCGTGTTGTACCGTTGCAGTTGCGACTTTCGCACTAATAATTCAGCACGATTAATTTTTGGACGTTCAGCCAGTAGCCTGCGTTTCTGTTGTACAACAGGACACGAGGGATGGCCTGCCGAATGCTCGCCTTGGCAATTGACACATTTAACAGGATTTGTACAGCCGAGGTTTGTAAACGGATGCTGCAGCCCACAACGGATACATATTTGCGGTTTATTACATTGTATTGTTCGATGCTCATGACTAAAACATTTCATACATTTGTTAACACGAACTGGTTGATAATATGGACGGACGTCATATTTCATTTGACCGATATAAATTTTTGTTTCATTCAAAATATCCTCAACATGTTTCAATGACGAAAAGTCGGCTCGGACAAGATTCAATGGCGAGTCACCGCCGTACATACGTATCAAGTTCCTCAAAGAACCGTATCTCTGTTGCAGTTCGCTTAGCACTTCGTCTTCGTCCCAGTTGCGATGAAAACGCTGGATAACTAACGAATATGACGGAGGGAAAGTACGCGGTAATCTGATCTCGAATTCAACATTGTTCAACCTATCCGGCCACTTTGTTTCGTCCATTAGTGCTTCAAATGTTGAAGGATCATTAGCAAATAGTAGCAGAGTTTTGTTATAACCAAATCGCCGAATAAGATTCAGGTCCAGACTATGATGATTTTTCCATAGAGTCATTAATTCGCTTATCAAATTTCGATCAGATATATTCTGGAGCGACTTAAATACCACAGATATAGGAGGAAAGTCGAAATTAATTTTTGCTTCATTATGGCGTCTGGCTGAAGTTGATTGCTGCTGATACTTTAACGGATTTGTTGAGACAGGCCCCTGCAAGATTGATCGTGTACGGTCCCGCTCAGATGACTGTGTTCGTAGCCTTTTCAACGGTGATCCTGAAATTTGGCTAAAGTTTTCACCAATTCTAGTTGACAACCGTTGCTGCTGTACTACTAACTTGTTCTGAACTTTTGTCGTTTTCAGTATTCAAACTATTTGTGTCTTTGTCTAAAGACACTGATTCGTTCCAATCCATACTTTAGAATGTATGGGAGGAAGGAAGAAACACGTGTATATGTACGAATGAATATAGTAAAAGTTACAAGTTGTCGATATTTTGCTAGAGGTTATCGATCATGGCGGATCTAATGAACATATGCCCGGTCATGTGCGGTACATGCATGCACTTATGCAATAAAAGTGTTTAAAGTTAAAACCTTAAGAACAAAAATAAGGTCATATTTGGAATCACCATCAAAAACTGCATCAGACGATGTGCCTTTGAGATTTTTTAGAGAAATGAAAAATTTCGACATTTTTTCGATCTTTTATATTCAGCTTCCGAGCAAATTTTGACACAGTTTTTCATTTCTCTAAAAACTCTCAAAGGCACATCGTCTGGGTAAAAAACCGTTTCGACAAAAGACGATTCGCCAAAAGACAATTCGCCATGGCGAAATGTCATGTGTCGTTTCGCCAACTGGCGAAATGTCGTGTGCCGTTTCGCCAACTGGCGAAATGTCATGTGCCGTTTCGGCCATTGGCGAAGTGTCAATGCCGTTTCGCCCAGAATTTGTACAGTTTCACCAATTGGCGAAATGGCACATGACATTTTGCCAGTAAATGGTTAGAACACCGTAAATTGTTATCAGTCCCCAAGTTAACTTAGGAATCTCACTGATTCTTGATCCCTAACTTGACTTAGGTATCGCTATTTAAATTATGATAATACATATGTAAAGAAAATGTCGCTTGACTATAGGGAAAACATTTTAAAGAGGAAAGAAGCGGAAAACTCATCCGACTATACTTTCTTTATCTCTATAAGTCACACTTATATGTATCTTTTCTTCCTGTCTATTTTCCGTGTTCTTCCTTATCTCTCTCTATCAGACCATGGAATATCGAATTTGTTTTTAGTTTGTTTAGTTTATTTGAAAATATATATTTCGAGGGAGGTATCCAGGAAATTGTCTTTTGGCGAATCGTGCTCTGGCGAAACGTCAGAGATTCCCCAAACTTTTGCGTATACAAAAGATGGTAAAAAACCGTTTCGCCAAAAGACAATTCGCCATGGCGAAATGCCAGTGCCGTTTCGTCAATTAGCGAAACGGCACATGACACTTCGCCAATTGGCGAAACGTCCCGTGACACTTCGCCACGGTGAATTGTCTTTTGGCGAAACGACAGAGATTCATCGTCTGATGCAGCGTTTGACGCTGATTCGAAATATGACCTTATTTTTGTTCTTCAGTGAAGTTTTGATGACTAAAACCTGAAAAAATGAAAAGTCGTAATTGGTCTGCCATCTTGTTTTCAAGTTTGGAACTTTTGCACTACTTTTAAAATAAAGCTTTTGCTAAAGTTTTTAAGTTTGTGGAAAATTGAATTCTCTATCGCATGTAACCTTCGATTTGTGAGCGAAATCCTGTTTGGAGGGCCAAAAGTGGCATTTTCTCTAAAATTTTGACCCTTCAAAATCCCAGTTCTCCAATTGATGTGGGTTTTAAACAGTTACTGCCTACTTCAGAAAAATTAAGCGCTATGTGATTTTATTTACTTTTATCAGGCTTTCGAATGACCTATTGTTCGGACAAAGCGGACAAAAAATGGCAGAGTTATTGTCAAACTATCAGAAATGGCATTTGAATATTATGACAAGGCACTACAAATCGAATCGAATTCATTACCGTCAAACCACCTGTCACTAGCCATAACATATAGTAACATTGCATCAGTTTTCAGAGGAAAAGGTGAATACGAAAAAGTATTAGGATGTTATAACAGAGCACTAGAAATCAAATCGAATTCATTACCATCAAACCACGCGTCGCTAGCTAAAGATATGAAAAAGAAGCTTTTGGGCGTTATCTAAGCATGAAAGTGTGCCATAATCACAAGAACTCCCTTGTTTTTGGGGTTTAAGTAGAAACTGGAACCAATCTGAATAATGTTTTGGATACTCCAAGGTTTTTTTTATCAGATGAGCTGGATATCACTCTTTCATGAGAACACTTCTTTAGTGCTTTTTCACGTAAGTATAGTCGATTTACCACTAGCTACAAAGGGCGTAAAAGTTACCAAAATATTCCGCATAAAAAGCACTGTAGAATGCCGCGAGATGTCTTATGTTGCTCAGAAATCTACGTTCTATTGGGTTTAATGATTTGCAACATTTTCGGACCAGAACCTAAGGACTTGGTCAAAAAACGCCAGAAAACGGTTAATTCAACAATCTTTAGCAAACGCGCTGTCGAAGAACGCGCTAGTCTGAAGTTTTGAACGCCAAAAAACGCGTTTAAACAGCTCTTTTAACGATTGTTCGCTAATGCATTCGGAAAAAGTGCGTTTTTCGTGGCGTTCTTTACGATTTTTTTCGCCTGGGTTTCATCTATTATTTGATTCATAATACGCAGATCAGTAGTAATACTGCATTTGAAATAAGGTAAATAAATGGCAGTATTTTGATTTTGGCTGTCTATTAATGACTTTTTCTCATGTTGAATATCTCCGTCTTTTCAATTCATATTTCGAGCTGTACCTAGAGCCCTGCGGGATTGAGTTTTTTCCTCCCGATTCCGGTGTCGTCCCGTAGGATTGAAACCCGGTCCCCATCCCGAAAAATTCTTTTCGCCAATCCCTATCCCGATCCCATCCCGTATGCGTAATTACAATCCCGTTAGGGAAGCCGTCAAGATTCGCATCGGTGAATTTATTCACCGGTAATTTGATTGGAGAGAAAATTGAGAACAGAATTATTCAATATGGCTGAAAAAAAATATGAAAGTATCGTATACCAGAATGCACATGTATTCTTTTCTGTACTATAGTTTTTACTAGTGTAACGTAAAAAAGAGAAAACATGGACTTCCATACCCGCTTCTATTGGTTAGAGAAACCATATTGAGCTTTTTACATATCTTAGGCTATGTTCACACTACGAGTTAAGCAGCTTAATTTTTTCGGCTTAAGGATTCTGATTGGTGCCTTTACGAAGAAAAAGTTAAGACACCAATCAGAATCCTTAAGCCGAAAAAATTAAGCCACTTAAGTCGTAGTGTGAACATAACCTTACTTTTGGTGGCCAGCTAGCTTTCAACGAATGCTGAAGTTATCTGCTATTGGTAGCTGTTATTAGCGGATAACTTCTTTCACCGATACAGTAAACAATTAAACACACAGAAGAAACTGTCCTCCTCACACGACAGTCAATCAGATTCTTTCTTTCAGCCTATCCCACACGAGCGACAGCTGTTTGTATTTTAGCGAGAAAACATTTCGAGATTTAAGGGAAGCCGTCAAGATTCGCATCGGTGAATTTATTCACCGGTAATTTGATTGGAGAGAAAATTGAGAACAGAATTATTCAATATGGCTGAAAAAAAAATATGAAACTATCGTATAACAGAATGCACATGTATTCTTTTCTGTACTATACTTGACTTGATGTTTTTTTTCTTTCTATGCACACTATAGAGAGAGATATAGCAAGAAATGGAGAAAAAAGAACAAATTTTATCGTTTTATCCAAAAGAAAGATTCCTTCGCTATGAAATTCGCGTTTATTCTAGTAACTTCCCAGATTAAAAAGTTAACAAATTTGAAAGTACCCTTCTCCAGTTTTTCTGCCAGTTTGTAGTACACAACTTGTACTCTATAACATGCTATTTTTTAGAAAAAGGTACCGTTTAGTTTTTGAGTTATAAGGCTGCCAATATCACAGCTGAACGTATGAAAGAGTAGGTATCTACTCCAATATAACAGTCAAATGAGTTTTCAGAGAGCTTTCTGAAATACCATGACTTTGCGGCTTTCTCTTCGGGCCATGGTAGTCAGAGATAATGTATGTAAAACAGAAGTAAAAATGGTTAAAAGGCTGCTTTTATCTATAGTCAGTATCTTCTTGAAACAAACGGGAAGTCGTCAAAAGTCACATCAGTGAATTTCTTCACCGGTGAATAAATTCACCGATAACTGGATTCGAGAAAAAATTCATATTCAATATGGCTGAAAAAAAGAATATGGAACTATCGTATAATAGAATGAACCTGTATGTATATATTCTTTTCTGTACTACACTTGACTTGATGTTTTCTTTCTTTCTATGCACACTATAGAGTGAGATATAAAGCAAGAAATGAAGAAAAGAACAAATTATATATTTTCATCAGATGTTCATATTTTACAGATTCAAGGAAAAGAGTACTCACTCTAAACTTATTTCGGATTCTCGCAAGTTCGTGAGTTCAAATTGCATTAATTAGACAAGTTGCATTCCCATTTGTTCTACTAGTTTAAAGTACACGAGTTGTACACGATACTGATGTATTTTGTAGAAAAGCATCCCCTTTAGTTTGTGAGGTAAATCGCTGTAAATATCGCTAATTATT